ACCCGGACAAGGCTAAATTACAACCAGAGAGCGCCAGTTATCCGTAGGCTTTTGTTTAGAGACACACTAAGTTAGCACACTCATCAGCACGGGTGGAATAACAACGAAGATTACGGCTTTTATAACTCGATTTTCTCTTTAGATCCATGATGTTCTGTTATTTCAATAGATAACATGGAAAACAGGTTCATCATGAAAAGCATACGATATAGCATCACACATCATGGTCTTAATATGCCACAGGCTTAAGGTGTATATATACCATACTATATAATGCATGACCATACCCCGTTCAATGAAGAACACGAACCCGAAATCCAAGTGATAATTAATAAACTTATTTAGATGAAACTATAAATGTGCTTCAACTCTACTTATGATGCTATTACCTCATACGTTTGGAGGTATGGAGGTCTGTGATTGACTATGCATTAAGACAGGAGTCCAAAGGATCAATAAGATAATACTATTTACACATCTATTGATATGAGGAATAATATGAGGAAATAATCATGGATTAGACTTAAGTCAACTATTAATATAGCCAAACTGCTATATTGTCTTATGTAAAATAGTTATAGTTTTTTTTTTTCAACCCATATTAAGAAAATATTAAAGCATTTAAATTACTTCACAGTCATTGGAAAATTGTATATAATTTTTCAAAATAAATTTTATTTTTATTATGAAAATATTCTTTGATTTGCGCGAATTATATACTTCTGCTTGATTTGTTAATTTAATAATTTTACAATTAAGTTCTTTGACATTTTCATACGGTTCAATAAATGGAAATAATTGACAATAATTGAAAATTAAATCAATTTTGTTAATTTTATAATAAAGCAATTTATATTATCAATACAATTTTTAAATAATGTTAATACAAAATGTGTGGAATAATTAATTATATGTTATGTATGATGACAATTAATGAGCGGTACTTTTATAAATGAAGTGTTAATATATTCATAAATTGTTTATAATATACGTATATAATTTATATTTTACACAAGTTTTTTCATCGAAAGTTACAAATCCACCTCTTAGTAATGATTGTAAAATAATGATTGTTCAGCAGATGCAAACCTTCATTCCAGCAATGAAGCGCAGCGAGGACAGCCGATAGGTTTAATATTTAGCAAGCTAAATTCATCAAAGCAAAGAAGTATGGTCCAACTAACTTAGGAGGTGTGGTGTCTATAGGTAAAGTGGGTGGAATTGTTACAGATTTACAGAAGGTATAGCTAAGTGCTCGGGAAAATAGCGGCTCCGGTTGCAGAATGGAATGGATGTGAGTTTAATGCAATGTCATTTAGCCTGTAAAGACTTAAGAACACAGTGCTCTAAAAAATACATTTATTAAGATAATGCGCCAATAAACGCCCCATTGATTATTCCAAGGAATTTCCACCGACACCAATAGAAGTTGACATAACTTCTTCCTTGGTAAAAAGCGATGCCCATCCCACCTCTGCTGATCAACTCCTCGCCGAATGTAAGTAAAATGCAATCATTCTTCCCGCGTAAGTTTGGATGTTAACTACAGTTACAATGACACTGCCAACATCAGTTAGTCAGGACAGCCAATGATGCATGCTTTGGCTACCTGATCCCAGTGGTACTAGATTTACACCTTCTGTCGGGTGTTGCAAGTGGGAACACTCACTTACTACTATTCACACTCTAAACAGTGTCGAAATAGAGCCGGGATTTCAGTCGCCTCTTATGACAGGCAAGCCTTACCTCGGGAATATTCTAACCCCTTACCCGTAGAGGGAAATAGGTGGAGGGTGTGCGACCTCTGTGAAACCACACTATCTTTCGTTGTGCGTTCGCTAATATTAGGCAGGGATATTAGCTTCTATGTCAGTATTATTATCAGTATTATATTCTGTCCAAGATCATAGTCATAGTCACAGTAAAGTCTCTAAATAAAACCTTCCTTTTTTATCACACCATAACTGTTATCTACTTATAAATTATATCTAAATCAATGAAAATATATATTAATGATTAACTTAATATACTTCCATTGAACAGTAGAGTTAATAAATATACAAAGCAT